GGTAAGAGCACAAACTGGAGTGTGTGATGTCACTATCTGAGTGTAAAACTTAAAGTGGCAATGGACAATATGTGTTTCAAGAAGAACCGGCCATCGCTGGAGCAGCGAGACGTTAAACTGGGTTCTAAGATAAAGTAAACGGTCCGTAGGAAGATTTTGAAATCGATGGTTGAATGAAGTGAAGTTCGCCAAATCAAGATGAATATTAATCTCAGAAAACAGAAGTTTATGGCAAATGCTGTTAGTGGCCTTCATGTAGCATTGAATAGAAAAAGGATTATGATGATCCATGTTACTGGCGATTGGCTAAACAGATTATGATAGCTGGGATGGCATCTTTTTTCATGGCTTTAATCTGAATTTTCTGAGTGAGGGTTGGATGTCCTTTGTATTTGTTTCCAGACGGAGCGTGCTGTACCGTATATTGTTTATTGCTCTCTGGATAGAAGCTTGTGTGCTGTGCTTTGACAATGAACTGAATTGATCTGAGCATAGGTTGCTATGCGTTTTGCATTCCTTATTTTAGCATATTTTTAGACAACCTAATTTCTTGTAGTGTTAACTTTTGCAGTTGGTTTTATTCATACGTATGCTTAGATTCTGCAACTTTTCCGATCTTCGAGTGCGGCATTTTCGGCCATTTCTTCAGAAGCGCTGCCACTCGAGAAAATCAGAAATGTCGGTATTTCGGCGCACATTGACTCTGGGAAGACGACTGTCACGGAGCGGCTGTTGTACTATTCAGGACGAATCGAGGAAATGCACGAGGTAATGGTTTGCCATCTGGATCCCCGTGAATTCTCTGAACCGGTATTGTTAATGCTGTGTTACAACGTGTTTATAATCAGTGGTGGTACTCATATCTATTCATCTGACTGGTTAGCACTGTTTAAGACAATGGCCGCAGTTGTCTTACCTTTTATTTGTTTGAAAGAAAGCAGGACACGGAACTTGTAACCATCAAGATGTCAGTTTCCGTTACATTTCCACCATGGGCTCCAATGTGGACCTCTTTTTAGAACTAATGATGGGCACTGATCTAAGCTTTTATGCTCATCTTTTATCTACTAAAGCAGTATCCGCAGGTTCAAACAACCTGTAGTTTCCTGTTCCTGTTCCTGTTTCCTCCAAGAAGTGCTCTTTTTGTGTCTACATCAGAAGGATCAAAAGTGATGATTTAGCTGAGACTCGATCTACGACCTTTCAACTGCGTGTTGGATGCTCTATCGCCTGAGTCTCTGTTTTAAAGAACCGACATTCATTCACATCGCGCCCTTTTTCTTGCAGGAATCGACATATACTTGAAGTAGAATGGGTTTTCCTTTCGGCATTACTTATTCAGCCAAAGGCTGATAAACCGGATTTGCATATTGCTATCTTTACGGTTTAATCGCATAGTTCACTTTTCATTCTTCCTAATTAGATAAGCAAAAGTAAATATCGCCTGTCTCTTCTCCGGACTCGCACTGCGTAATTGCATCGTCCTTTACGACTGGTAGTCTAGACGATCGCTTAAGCAAGCTACAACTCCATGGTATTATTGTAGCTGCAGTGCATAGGCGCAAGACCGTACCACTTTGTTTGGACAAAAAAGCCTGTTCGAACACCAACGGATATATCTTGATCTTCAGGCTACATAATGGAAATAAACGCTGGTATTGAGTACAGGGTATTAACTTTTCGGTGATCAAACGACATGTATAATAAAAAGTGTTTATGAAACAGTAGGATTGAAAAATGAGGAAAAAGAGCTTGGATCAGCATGACAGTCCCACCCCAGCTTTTGTCTTGGATTTTAGGTAGTTTCTTCTTTATATTCCAGGAGAGAATTCAATGCATTGTAACACTACGATGGCAAAGGTTGCATTCTCTTATAATATTCTTTTGTGGTTCGTTACTATTACTATACCACTTTAGGTTAAAGGAAAGGATCAGGTGGGCGCTACGATGGATTTTATGGATTTGGAGCGGCAGCGTGGTATAACTATTCAATCGGCGGCAACGTATGTAAACTGGAAAGGGACCAACGTGAATATCATAGACACACCAGGTAGAGCTTTATTTCTAGTCATTTTCGTGTCGAATATAATTGTATTAGGTCACGTGGATTTCACGGTTGAGGTTGAACGCGCCCTTAGAGTTTTGGATAGTGCGATTCTTGTACTGTGCGGGGTCGGGGGCGTTCAGAGTCAGACGTACACCGTCAGTCGACAGTTGGCCCGTTACAACGTTCCTTTTGCAGCATTTATCAACAAACTTGATCGTTCAAACGCTAACCCTTTTCGTGTTTTGGATACGATGAGGTATTTTATTTATTGTTCGAGTCGGCATCCGCGTTTATGTTGTTTCGCTTTTGGATGGTATCTGTCAGATATGTTTTAGTAGACATTTTAAATGGGGTGCCTTTAATCATGTGTACAATATGACCATCAAGGCTGGTAATTGTAAGGTAAGCGCTGCTTCTGCCGTCAAAAGATCGCGGATTACAATTCCGGTACTACCATTCCCTTTTCCTTTTGAGAACGATAAGCCAGTATCCATTGATAAACAAGTATCCCTACCTATCCTTGTGTGTGAAAGGAGAAGCAACAGGTGCGCAGTGACAACACCATTGCTCAAGTGGATTATTAGATGAAGACTTTTTCAAACCTTTACCGAGCATGTCTTCTGCATGTCGCTTTTTAAACTTTGAAAGCTTGTTTCTTAAATAAAGTTACGGTATAAAATTATTTTTCCGCATTGAACTACGTAGTTATGAACGATAACGAGACGCG